TTTTTTTTTTTTTTTTTTAGCTTTTAGAGATGGGGTTTAGCTATGTAGTTCAGACTGGGCTTGAATTCACCATGTAGCCCACACTGGCCTCAAACTTGATGTGCTCCTCCTGCCTTAGCCTCTGAAATTCTGTGATTAAAAGGTGTGCACCACCACACCTGGTCTCCCCCCCCCACACTTTTTTTTAAAGAGAGATGGAACCCAGAGGCCACATATAAGTATCACCCACTCCTAGGGACATTTTTGTTTGTTTGTTTGCTTGTTTGTTCTGGTACTGGGATTGAATTTATGACCTTGTGCTTTCCAGGCAGGCGGAAGAACCACTGAGCTAAATCCCCTGCCCCCTAAAAACATTTTTGATTGTCATGAGGGGACTAACAGGGCCTCTAGTGGGCAGAAGACAGAGCTACAGCTAAACTACAGTGAGCAGAGTTAGGATGGGTTTGAGATTAGGATTAGGGTTCTGTTAACCCTGCCTTGCTTTTGTTCTACCTGATCCTACCTTGTGTTTTTTTGGATGGGGGTTCGTTGTGTTGGGAATTGACCACAGGGCCTTTGCACTGAGCTGTATCCCTAGCCCATTTTATTTTACTGTATACTTTGAGGCAGTGCTATGGTGTATACCTAGTTGTTCCCCTAAAGCCTCATGTGCTTTTGAGAGGTGGCTGCCTCTTGGGTGTGTGACCCTCTCTGGATTAAGGGTGTGATACGGACTGATCCAGCAATTTAGAGCTGGGTGTGATGTTGGGAGGTGGAGCTCAGACGGAAGAGGTGACCCGCTGGCCTGCCAGACCCATATAAATCCCTCCTCCACCCGTGATCCCTCTCTGCTTCCTGCTGCCATGCCCTGGAGCCGGCTGACTACGGACTAAAACCCTCACAAATTGTGAGCCCCAGTAAACCTTCTCCCCTTTAAACGGGGACTGTTGGGTATGGTTTCTCCATGATGGGACAGAAACCGAGACAGATTTTGGTGCCAGGAATGGGCCATTGCTGTGACACCAGCTTA